ATTTCTGATTTCTTCTTGAGTGCCCTACAAAACACCTTCTTTGCTAGCGACTCCCAAACTTCTGCCCCTGGCATGTTTTCAGACCATTTCATGCTTGTGTGTCTCTGCCAGTTAACTGGTCCAGTCTTTTCAGTAACTGTCATGCCCTTGGGCAAATCCAGAAGTGGACAAGCCCAGTGATCCACTTGGTGCTGGTATCCTTGTTCCTCAATATCCACTTGGAAGGGAAGTTGGTGTCAGGACCTGTGCATGCATGTACATGTGCATACACATACTGTGGGCAAGAAAAGTTCAGCTGCTCAAGATGCTTATCTAAAATTGTGTAGTATTTGCATATAACCTGTGCACATCATCTCATACACTAAAATGCAATCACTGTGTAAACAGTTATTTAACTGTTGTTTAGGGAATAATGCACTGCTGCCACCTGTTAACTCAGATTTGCTCTGGGAAACAAAACACAGGTCCTCTCTGGGTGTCTCAGGAAGGGATCTGATGAAAGTGAAGATAGACCCAGTGAAGTAGAGTGGGTGAGGGAAGAGCTGTGGTGCAGAGGGCACTAGACTTGGTGAGCCTTCCTGGCACTGCCCCCTCCCCCAGGAAGTCTAGAACGGGCCGCAGTACAATTCAACTGTGTGTACCCATGGATTCCATGCCCATGGATTCAACCAACCACAGTTATACAATATTTGGGAGCAATTTTTCATCAGCACTAAACATCTATACTTTATCATTATTCCCTAAACAACAGTTAAATAACTGTTTACACAGTGATTACATTTTAGTGTATGAGATGATGTGCACAGGTTATATGCAAATACTACACAATTTTAGATAAGCATCTTGAGCAGCTGAACTTTTCTTGCCCACAGTATGTGTATGTACATGTTCATGCACATGTCCTGACACCAACTTCCCTTCCAAGTGGATATTGAGGAACAAGGATACCAGCACCAAGTGGATCACTGGGCTTGTCCACTTCTGGATTTGCCCAAGGGCATGACAGTTACTGAAAAGACTGGACCATGAAGTTCAAGTGGAAGGACAGGTAGGAGTTAATACATACACATAAAGTAGCCAATAACTTGAGACAAATTGGGCTATCCTACCTATTTCGTCCCCTGTAATAATTACACCCTGCATCATGCTGCTTCAAGACCTTCCATAGAGGTCTTCTCTCATGCCATAGCAATCTTTAAACTACTTGGCGGCAGCAGCATTAGCTTGAAACAGGACATAGTAAGGCTAGGAGCTTTGTTCAGCATCTTGGGATTAGTCGGAAGTGAAGCATTTTCACAGATGTGTGCAATGATACTCCATTGTCTTTGCACACCACAGCTCAACCTCCACAAAATCTGCTGTTCCCAATCTTTTTCATTTAAAATTAAGATGCTAGAAGAATAATGTTTGCATACAAAAAAGTAAAAATGTAATATTCGGAACATGTTAATGAAATTTTACATTGTTCTAACTTTAATAGAAACTAGAAAATCCAACCTCCCTTTAGTAAATTCAAATAAATTAAAGTTATCTTTAAAAAAGTGCAAGCTTTATATAAATTTAATCACGGCTTCTAGGAGGTGAAAGAAGCTCTAACAAATGTTCTTCCATGAGTGAAATATCTGAGAAACTTTGATTGTAAGCTCCTGGAGGGTAGGAAATGTTTGCAAAATTAATCTTGTATCTGTGGTTCAACATTATATAAAGACATTACTCACCACAACATCAGGAAAGCATTAAATATATTGTTTTTTAGTAAATGCAACAGCATATCTTACTTTTATTGTTTTAAAGTGCTAATTTTGTAGCTAGCTCCTCATTATCTTCTTGCCACTTGATAAAAATAAAAACTTGTACTTCAAGATGAGCTCAGGATTAAATTTTCCTCACCAAAAAAAGGATCTTTTTAGTAGTTCAGAAACTATACCTTACAACAAAGACTCTGTATTTTAAAACACAGCTGCAGGATATTTAATGCTTATTTTACTCCAGTACTGTGAATTTCAAATTGAAATGGGATGGAGCATTTGTGAATTGGGTCACAATGTCAAATGCTACAAGAGCCTGGAAAATTTGACCATCTCTAACATCTTAAATTAAATGCTAATGTGTATAGTCATACAGCCTGATTTTTCTGAATTTGTCTCTGCTTGTCACACTTTAAAAACTATGGAAAGTTTTCAAGATGCCTTGACCCCAAAATGAACAGGAAAAGGGAAAGGGGCAAGGATAGGAGTGAGCATGCGGGAAATATTGAGTCTCTAAAGCAGCATTCATTGTGTGTTCCTTGGAACAGAACTAAGGCTCTAAACTCCACATTTTATAATCTATATTACCACCACCTCAGGCAATGCTTGCAAACTACCAGAAGAATGCAATGATTCAATCCCTCACCAATTAAATTGGAACTACTTGAGTATTTGGTCAACAATAAGAGCAATTTCAAATGCATTCATCTGCTCCAATAAATCAGGTGAACATTTCTAAATCAGAAATAGGGAGGGTAATCTATACCTGCCTTTTAAAAGGGGCATATGAACAAATCTGGTCACCCTCGTATTCATGTTTAGATTCACAATTGATTTATTATAAGCTGGGCCTGAGGAAAGAGGACAATGACTGAAGGTATTAGAAATGTCACTGGTGATTTCCTCTTCTTTCAATTACAGGTATTGTACTATACACAGGAAAGTGAATTTCTCATCTCAAGTACACAGTAGGGAGAAACAAACCTGAGAAAATTGATATTGTTTTCATTAAGTATGGTTAACACAGGCTGCATACATTAGCGCAAAAGAAGAACAAAGAAAATGTATTTCCATTCACAGTAGGAGACAAAGTGAGATAGCAAAAGATATATAATATACTGATAGATTTAATAAAAGGGACAAAGAAATGTATAGGCCCATATTGAAAGGATAGTCAACTTGATTACAGGATGATCGATCTAGCCAGTCTAAATTGAGCTGTGCTTATGTAAGCCTCTCTAGAAAGGTGTCAACTTATCAAACCTTTAAGACTATGTAAGGGAAACTCTGGCATTTTTTATGGCCCAAACAAGAAATATTTGTTATAATAGTAATGAGAAGCTCATACAAAATTTAAGAAGTACAATGCCAAAATTAGGAATACAGTACAATGAGAATATATAAAATCAAGTCAATGGAAGGAATGTAAATTGAAAGAAAACATAAATTGCATGACTTCATTAGTCCATCCTACTTCTAATATTGTTCAAAACAGAACAAACCTAGTTCATCTATTACCAAATGCTTATCTGTAGCCAGTCTGAAGTTTCTTCAGCCAAATCAACAAGATATAGTCTTGGCTGTTGTTTTCTTAACTGTTGAAATGTATATTTTAAAAACAAGGAAGATGTCATAAGATAAATACGGTTTTTATTTAAATGTATCTACATACACTAACATACACACTTATTTTTAATGCTCACTTGACATATGGGACCAGTAATTATTGGACTATCACTTACTTTCCTATTTTTTTTTTCTTTTCTTAAATGTATTTGGTACAGGGTCTCACTACACAGCTCAAATTCATGGTGATCCTCCTGTTTTCCATTTCCCCAAAGCTGGGATCACAGGCATGCACCCCCACACTCAGTTGGGCTCAGTGTACCCAGAGGTGGGTCCACCTGGCAAGTGGTGCTGCTGGGGATTAAACCCCAGTCCCTGCACTTGCCTAAGCAGGCGCTTATCCCACTGAGCTATCTTGCTGGCCCTATTGCTCCTATTCTAACTTTATTAATTTATTGAGCACTTAAGCCCAGGTTACAATGAAGATTAGTGAATTATCAATAATTGCGGCATCACCGGGAAAAGCCAAGCCTGCCACTCTCTCTCTAGTTAATGAGGACAACAGGAAAAGAAAATGAACAGAGTGAAAACAAATTTTAAGCAAGGCAGAAGTTTTTCAAAACAGGTGAAAAAAAAAATAAAACTGGAGATGATTGCTCAGAAACATCTACACCCTAAAACTGATTATATCTTTCAAACATCAGAGCTACCAACAATATTTAAGTTATTTATCTTCCTATTCCTCCTTGTCCTTGATAACCCAAAAACCCACCTGCCATCTGAGTTACAATAAGGGAATTTACCCTTCGTGCATGAGAAGACTCAGCTTTATTCCCTGATAGCCAAACCTTCCAAAGGACAGCACTTCACATATTTATCCACAATAAGACCAAAAGCACAGGTGGACTTTGTGATGTTGATAGCAGATGCCTGACAGACTCCTGTGAGGTAAGCAGGAAAGGTTTGGAACAAGGTGAACAGTGAATGTTAAAGGCTGAAGCTGGATGATAGGTGTGTGGAGTTCAGTGTACTCATCTCTACTTTTTCTATAAATAAAAGGTTAGAAACAACAGAAAAATAAACTTAAGTAGAGCTCCAACTGTATCTCAAAATAGGAAAAAAAAAAAGGGAAAGTAGATAGGAATGAGATTAGGGTGGTATGAGTAATGCCATTTATAGATAATGCAAATGCTGTTTTAGTAACTTAAATTCCTTCCTTCCATGCACAGCACAGCTAATGCCTGGATGTATACCCATTTTTATACCCAGCAAAATGGATTTATGGAACTCTTCTTTCTCCTGCATTATCTTTGAAGAAATCTCTCCTAGCCAGGGATCCAAGAGTAAAAGAAAAAGAAAATGACCCTGAAAAACCACAAAGCATGCCATATAACTAGAAAATCATCAAAAGCTAATAGTGTAAATAGAAGAAAAACAGCTGTGATGAACCTTTCATTTACATCTTGAATTTTTATATTACTAGTCACTCAGAAAATCAGAGATCAAATACTTTCAGTGATATTGTTCTCTATGGAGCAGATACTTAAAAAATGATTATGGGCTAAAAATACCATTGTTGGCTCAACTGTTCAATTGTACGTGGCTACACTACCAAAGCTTGACTTTTAAATTTATGTCACAGTGAATGAATTTTTTGATAAATCCAACATATGAGGTACATTCTACCTGATATCCAAAGAAGACCATCAGCCACATATCCAGCATGACACGAAAGGGATCGGTCAAAGGACTGCACAAAGGTCCATTTGTTCTTCTTGGGGCAGTATCGCTCAACTGTGGGCAGCACTTGCCGCAGTTCATTTCTGCCCCCAACTGCATAGAGGTATTCATCCATGGCACCCAATACGAAATGCTCCCGGCAGTTTTTCATGGGTGCTATCTCAGCCCAGGAGTTACTGCGGGGGTCATAGCGACAAGCAGTCCTCACAGCACACGTTCTGCCACTAGCATGTTCCACTTCCCCTCCTGCCACAAACAGGAAGTCCCCCATGACTGCCACACAGTGATGGCTCCTTCCCACCGGCATGGGGGCCAGCTCACTCCAGTTGGCAATGGCAGCGATGAGAGCATTCTCCTGGTCGACAGGATTAAAATAGCGAAGTTCCTTGACTTTACAGACTTCACGCTTTTTCCCACCAATGATATACAGAGTGTCTGACTGAAAGCGTGGTTTGGTCCGGCAGGTCTGCCAGACAGGCTGTGCGTAGATGCTCTGGTGGTATTCCAGGGCCTCGTTGACCAGGGCTGTTGCAGTCTCACTTGCCTGGACCAGCGGGTGTGACAGGGCAACCGTATGAAGAGTATCCACGTCCATGAGGCCAAAGCGGATGTACTGCAGCAGCTCATCCATGTACTGGTAATGGCAATTATGTTCCAACCACCTCACAGCTAGCTGAAACAGAGGGAAGTGGGGTGAGAGGAAAAGCAAGAAAGAAAAAGCACAACCATGCTGGTGTGAGGCCAGTCACCAGGTCTTTCAGGCAATTAATACAATTTTTGCTACAAACCATGTAGTAGTAGAATATTTTGATACTTAAGCAAGGGACTTTTTTTTTCTTTCCATATCAGCAGAGCCACAAAAGAACTCAAGACATTGTTATAGGTGTTAGGAGCAACATGGATGGAGGTTAATGATATTTAGGGTGAACTAAATATCTTTTCAAATAATGAAAATAGTGTTGTGAAACAGCCTGTTTTCTTATGTTTCGTGTACAAAAGGCTTAGTGTACCGCACCAATAGGAGATGTCAACAGCAAGCAGTGCCATCCCAGCTCAAGTAATATATGTCAGCTTGGGAGCCCAGGTGCTGTATCAATATGAGTAAGTAAGAAACTATGTGATCATCTGAGACCACAGGGTGTACTTGAGAGAAAATCAATATGACACTAGTAGAATGATTTAGAAAGAAAAATGACTTTCCCCGCCCCTTTGGTAGGTAGAGCAGTCAGGAAGCAAGCAGAGAAAAGGTAAGATTATAGCTTATCAATTTTACCTTTTTCCTCTCAGTTTTCACCTTGAAGACAGTTGTTTTCTGTGCATATAAGATGCTGACAATTTGGGGAGGGGGGTCATTTTCACAAACAGGATATAGAGGAGTTTATCTTTGTATTATGGAAAAAATAACAGAATATAATACCTTTTATTTTCCCTTCCAGATAGATGTTTTTCAAGAACAAAAGAACTTTTGGCTATAGCCAAAGAGAATTTCCTAAAACTAAAGCAAGTGAAATAAGTTACAGATAACAAAATAAAACATTAATTTTAAAATGCTATCAAAAATACCTTCACTTATGAAACAATGAAGTAATTTAATTAATGCAACTAAACTCTTAAGCCTGGCAAATGTCCCCATGCACTAAGATAAAATAGCATGCCTAGTGTCCCCAGTCAGTATATTTGATAAAAATTATTCTTAGCAATAACTAATTCAACTAGAACTTCTAAAGTGGATCTCAAAGAGTTAGCAGAAAAAAACAATGAGTACAAATATTAAATGATTATTGTGTTTTATTTGCTTTCTAACTCATGGCACAGGAACTTCCCTGTTCAGATATGCCTGGTCTCCAGGAGGAAGGAGCAGGACGTGCAGTATTCTCAGATCGTTACCCCTTGACAAAATGACCTGGGCTTTCTTCTGGTAAGATTCATTAGGTTTTCTGAGGCACTGAAAGATTTCAGAGCTTCTGTATCCATTTAAAGAATGGCTTCAAATGACAAGGTGCATTTTGTGCTTGCTTTTTAGCCTCTAAATGAGGTTTCTTTACTTCTGCTATTCAGTGAAGTGCTTCTCCTAATTAATATAGAGTGCAAAGAAACAAAACAAAAAAGGATGCACCAAGTTACCAGTGTGGCAGGCATTATGGGGGAGAGATGAATACTACTTTAGAAGTTTTATAGGAAATGGCATTTTTAAAATGTAAATAAGGTATCAACCTGATGGGGAAAAAAAATCTATGTATGATAACATGAGCAATAATCAAAATTGTTGCAAAAGAAAAATGTAATTTATCAATCACCACGTACCTACCAGAAGTAGAGAGGGTTTCCACATGTGGCATCCTGTTCTTTTTTTTTTTTTTTTCTGCACTAACTACAGAAATTTCAAGGGAAGTAGTTCCAATTATTTCTCTAGAGAGATAACTTCAACAACTTAATAAGTGAATTTTTATTCTTTGTCCACAGGGATAAGTTCTAGGATAAGATCATGCTGTTCAAGGTCATTTCTTATGTACTAGGTACAATTTCTTGAAACAACCTTTGATATTGCCCAGTTGAGTAATTTAACGTCCTTCTATCCTTATGGCTCTTCCTCTTTCACATGCTATTGTATACTATAGAACACAGCACTGGCGAAACATTAGATGAATAACCATGTCACTAGAGCCTCTTTATACAGCAGAGTTGCCCATTTAATTATTTTTCTCTCTCATCATAAATCAGGTCTTCCTGTGTCATAATCAATCTTCTATCCCATCTCTGAATGCTCTCCAGTTAATCTTTATCATCCCAGCAAATGGTGTCATTAACTGCCAGAGAAGTACACAAGCCTCAGCTACGTTCTGCTCTTAAGGAAACCTCTAACTGGCCATGAAATAGTGACCATTGTGGTCTATTACTGAATAACTTCTGTCTAGCCACCACTTCATGTTACATGTATGATGACGCTTTCCACATTCAATTTCCTACATACTATGTATTACACTTTTTTTGCATTTTTCTCAGATGATTTTTGTCTTATTTCTTTCCAGCATTTCTAATTTCCCACAGAGCTTATATAAAATTTCACACTTTTATAATTTACTAACATTTTCAGACTAAGTCATCCATATTTGGTGGCTTTATCCTTTTTTCACATCAAAGGTGTATGTAACTTGCAACCAAACTATTCTCCCACTGACATCTGACCTCACTGGTATATGAATTATGTGGGGTTTGGGGACAAACTGCAAGCTTGGATCTAGCAACTAAAATTGTGTATTTGGAGTCCACAAGTTCCTAGTTGATGCGAATGTCACTGGCCTTACACATTTGAGTAGGATGATTTTAGATAGATTTTTATTCATTAAACATCATGCTGTCTGAATTTACTTCCAAAAACTACATTAACTAATTCCATCCACTAGGGTTCTGTCTTACTAGAGCTAAACATACTATTGCAAATTTAAGATAATATAAATCTAATGAAGTCCAAGACATGATTAAATTAATATCTAATTAATATATAGGACAGTTCATTAACTTAATAATAGTACTTTTGTGACCCTAGTTCTATAAGGTTTATAAATTAATGGCTAACTTACTTATGTTAGCAGTAACAGTCAAATATATACATAAACACTCTGCACTTCTACAATAATAAATAAATGTAAAGGTATTACTGTGCTCCCTAAAAAGAGTAAAAACATTTACAAAATAGTGCCTGAGAGATAGCTCAGTGGCATAAGCACCTGCCTGGCAAGTGCAAGGTCCATTGATCCCTAGTGCCAAAGGGGAAAAAAAAACATTTACAAAAAATAAAAAAGAAGAACCACTGAAAATATGAATTCTTAGTCAAAGAATGAAAGAAACAGCCAAAAAATTCAAAATAATGGACCACTTCCAAATATTTTATATGGTTTGAACTTAACCAGGGCACTATCCGCTGCTGTGCTGACTCAAAGGAAAGGCTGTAAGAGTCATGGCTCTTGCTCATGGGGCCTTAGATACTGAACGCAGAAGTCTTATTCTTCACTGCAGCCTCACAGAACCAGCAGTTAGCTCTGCAACTTGTTTTGATCATTGTGTTTGAAAAAGACTACTCTGCAAACCAGCAGCAGTACAGTGAGGACACTACAGGGAAGAAGGATACTGTAGGAGAGGGAAATCCTACTCTGTCTTCTCCATTTAGTCATACTGCTGTCCTGCTCCCCTACTGTGATGGGAAGAAACTGACACATACAGCCAGAGTCTCGGCTTCCACCCTTTTGGTAAAGCCAGCAAGAGTGGAAAAGGAAATACTGATGCAGTTTGGGAGGGCACAGCAAGGACACTTAGGAAACCTAGTAATTAGGCAAGATTTTCCTGTACCATTTGAAACATAATAGATTGTCATGTCTAAGAACAGTCAGAGTTCACTCATGTGCCCTGCCTAACTCAATTCATTTGAGCCCAGCAGAGAATTGTTCCTTTTTAGAAAGAGCATTAGCTAGAGTTAATCCAAACTCAACTCATCTGTCTCATCTTCAGTGACAGCACTCAGCCATAGACAGTTCTAAATACTTGTGGCATAAATGGAAACATTGTTTACTACTGATCTTACACTATTTCTTCAATTTCTCTTGAACAAACAATACTAATTCCTTTGTATACTTATTGATTCATCTACTGTAGGCTTCAGTTTACTGTTTTGTCTCATCTTTATGGCTTTCTCATGAGAACTTTATAAGCTCTTTGAAGTCTGGAATGCCACATACAGTGCACCAAATTTAGACATGTAAGCCTTGGTTTCCTCCCTCACAGCACTAGTGCTTGCCACCTCTGTTTGAGATTTTTAACATCCCAGTGTACTCTCTAGTCTTTTAAGCTTTCAAATAAGTAATAAAGCTTTCAAGTCCAGAAAAAAACTTTAGAATTCACTTTGTTCAAGTTTCTCAATTTTACACATGGAGATAAAATCCAGACAAGATAAATGACTTAACCTAAGCCATACAATTCATTAGCAGATAGCTGCAACTAGGAATCCAGTTTTTAAACTAAACAATGTATTTTCTACTACATCACCCACCTTGTCATTGTTTTTCCATCAGTATTTTAAGATAGAACCCAGCCAAATATACTCAGATTCAATATAACTTCAATATATCTTGAATTAGAAAAATAAAGTCTATTTTTAAAATAGGTATACTTTGTTACCAGATAGGATGACAATATTTTTCAATGAATCTTAAGGATTACTTCAGAAAAATATAACAAGACTGGGCGTGGTGGAGCATACCTGTAATCCCAGCTCTTGGGAGGCTGTAAACAGGTGGATTACTATGAGTCTGATCTAATAGTGAGCCCCTGAACACCCTGGAGACCCTTCCCTAAAAT